ATCACACAGTTACACCATGCCCCCCACACAACACGCAAACACAACACACATCCACATCACAGTCACACCATGCCCCACACACGACACACATAAGCACACCACACACATCTACATCAGTCACACCATGCCCCACACACAACACACATCCACATCACACACACAGTTACACCATGCACAAACAACACACATCCACATCACACACACAGTCACCCCATGCCCCACACACAATAAACACAACACACATCCACATCACACACACAATTATACCATGCCCCACACACAACACACAAACCCACCACATACATCCACATCACACACACAGTTACACCATGCCCCGCACACAACACACAAACCCACCACACACATCCACATCACACACACAGTTCCACCATGTCCACAAGCCACCACACACACACATCACACATCCACATCACAGTCACACCATGCTCCACACAACACACACAAACACACCACACACATCCACATTACACACACACACACACAAACACAGTTACACCATGTCCAAAAACCACCACACACATCCATATCACAGTCACACCATGCTCCACACACAACACACAAGCACACCACACACATCCACATCAACAGTCACACTGTGCCCCACACACCACCAAACACCACACACATCCACATCTCACACACAAACCATGCCCCACACAACACACACACCACACACATCCACATCATACAGTTACACCATGCCCCACCACAACATGAACCCACCACATACATCCACGTCCAGTTACACCATGTCCACAAACCACCACACACACAAGCACACCACACACATCCATGTCACACAAAGTCACACTATGCCTCTCACAACACACAAACCCACCACACACATCCACATCACAGTTACTCCATGCTCCACCCACAACACACACAAACCCACCACACACATCCACATCACAGTTACTCCATGCTTCACACACAACACAAACACCCCACACACATCCACATCACACATGCAGTCACACCATGCTCCACACAACACACACAAACACACCACACACATCCACATCACACAGTCACACCATGCCTCACACATAACACACAAACCTACCACATACATCCACATCACACACACACAGTTACACCATCCCCACATACCACAGAAGCACACCATACACATCCACATCACACAGTCACACCATGCCCCACACCATCACACACACAAACACATCACACACATCCACATCACAGTCACCCATCCCCACACACCACCACACACTCAAATACACCACACACATCCACATCACAGTCACCCATCCCCACACACCACCACACATGCAAACACACCACACACATCTCAACACACACACAGTCACACCATGCCCCACACACTGCCACACATGCAAATACACCACACATATCCACAGCACACAATGTCGTATCATCCCCCAAACACCACTGTACACAAACATACCACACAATCCACATCACACACACAGAAAGTCAAACTATGCCCCACACATCACACACATCTACAGTGCACACTAAGACCACATGTCCCAGTCACACACAAAACCCCACAAGACACCCGCACACAGAGGCACACAGACACCCCTAGTGGATGAGGCATTTCCTGGTCACTCTGGTCATCTCTGGGTCCTGGGAGCCTGTTTGAGCCCCAAGAGCCTGGCCGCTGCTGGGAAAAGCCGTGGGCAGGTGGATCCAGGGCAGGCCAGGGTCCCTCCCGTGAGCTGCAGGAGGCCATGGTGCAGTCCCACAGGCTGCTGGGAAGAGCTGGAGGGGCCAAGGCTGTGGGGAGCCCCACTCTGCCCTCCCGGGGCTGCTGCCCCACTGGCGCTGGCCTCAGCCACCCCTCCTCCCGAGCTCCTCCCATCCTCCCCAGTTTCCTGCCCCAGCCAGGCTGTGCCTGCCACCACAGCTCTGAAAGGCTGGGCTTCTTGGCACAGGAACACGATCTTTGGGGCGTCTTTGCCTTCCCAGGGAGCATGGGACTCCTGAATGAATCTTACTGGCTTCTGTGAGCTCCTTGTAGGGCAAGGTCCACTAGGACCCCCATATCTCCCTCCTCCACATCTGCACAGAGGTGGTTATAATGGCTAATTTTATGTGTCAGCATTACTGGGCCATGGGGCACTAGACATTTGGGCAAACCGATTATTCTGGGTGTGCCTGTGAGGGTGCTTTTGGGTGAGACTGACATTGGAACTGGTGATGGATGGGAGAACCAGCGGGATAAAGCAGATTGCCCTCCCTGATGTGGGGAGCCTCATCCACTTGGCTGAAGGCCTGAATAGGACAAAAGGCTGAGAGTTTGTTCTTTGAGTCAGTCTTGAGTTGGATCACTGGCCTCCCTGCTTCAGATTCAGACTGGAACTACACCATTAGCGCTCCTGGGTCCCCAGCTTGCTGATCCCTGTCTACAGGGAACAGGACTGCTTGTCTCCTTGGGACCTCTCAGCCTCCATAATCATGTAAGCCAATTCCTTATGATAAATCCATCCACCCACCCACCCATCCATCCATCCACTCACCCACTCATCCATCCATCCACCCACCCACCCATGCATCCATCCATCCATCCATCCATCCATCCATCCATCCATCCATCCATGCATCCACCTACCCAACCATTCACCCACCCATTCACCTACCTGCCCATCTACCCACCCACCCATACATTCACCCATCCACCCATGCATCCATCCATCCATCCATCCATCCATGCATCCACCTACCCAACCATTCACCCATCCATCCACCCACCCACCCATCCACCCAGCTATCCATGAACCAGGCCACCCAGCCACCCATCCATGCATCTACCTACCCATCCATTCACCCACCAATCCACTCACCCACTCACCCACCCACCCACCTATCCATCCACCCATCCAGCCATCCACCCATCCATCCATTCACCCACCCTTCCCATCCATCCATCCATCCATCCACCAATCCCTCCCACCCACTCCTCCCATCCATCCACCCACCCACCCAGCCACCCATCCATGATCTACCTACCCATCCATTCACCCACCCATCCACTCACCCACCCACCGACCCACCCGCATTCACCCACCCACCCATCCATCCATCCATCCACCCACCCCTCCCATCCATCCACTCACCCCTCTCATCTATGCATGCCTCCTCTCAGTTCTATTCCTGGAGAACCCTGACTAATATGGTGGTCATTCCCATCTGTGTCTGCTGAACACTGTCCCCATCATAAGTGAGCCCTCCCTATAACAAGCACTCTTGATTTAACCTTTGCCAGTCCCAGTTACAGTTTTATAAAATTCAAGCCCTTCACTGACTGTTCTCCCAGGTTAGGCAGTGTTGCCAAAGGCACCATCTTGCCTCTTTGTAGCAAGGTGGATCTGCCCAGGGCACCTGGCCTTTGCCTCTGCACTCCCCCTGGTTCCCCCATCAAGGCTTGGCGGCTCTGGGTGCATGGAGAGTTTTATTATGAAATAGCTCTAGCAGTGCCATTGACTCAGAAGGCACTTGGCAAACAGACTCATCATTTCTATTAAAAGAGGCATGGAGTTGGCCAAGCGCAGTGGTTCACGCCTGTAATCCCAGCACTTTGGGAGGCCAAGGAGGGTGGATCACGAGGTCTGGAGTTCGAGACCAGCCTGGCCAAGATGCTGAAACCCCACTTCTACTAAAAATACAAAAATTAGCCAGGCGTGGTGGCATGTGCCTGTAATCCCAGCCACTCAGGAGGCTGAGGCAGGAGAATTGCTTGAACCTGGGAGGTGGAGGTTGCAGTGAGCTGAGATCATGCCATTGCCTCCAACTTGGGAGACAGAGTGAGACTCCATCTCAAAAAAAAAAAGAGGCATGGAGTCCAAAAAAATATTACAATGATTAAAATCAATAAAAGAGCTGCTGTTGCTGAAGGCCTGCTGGGAGGCTCCAGGCCATGCACTTTGCACACGTGACCTTGAGTCACCCAGCTCCCCCCACCTACGGTGAAGACACTGAGGCACAGAAGAGCCGACAGTGGCAGGCAGATGGGCAGACACCGTGGTGCCCATCCTGGTAACATAACCTCAGTGCCACTCACCCCTTCTTGACGCTATGCCCCTGGGGGAGGTGGGTGCCTCCATGGCCAAGGGGCCCATCTTAACCGGCCTAAGCCAGCCATGGCCATCGAATGGATATCCTGTGAACATGGGCCATGGTTTCAGCCATCAGATGTGAGGCGGGTGGAGACAGGGTGGTGGGCAGAATCTGGAAGGTTTTCCAGTCCCTCAGCGGGAGGCCAGGGGACAGGGCTGCTTGTCTCCCTGCCTCCTGATGCTCCCGTGTCAGCCGTACTGCCCAGAACCACGACAGCAGTGTGGGCACCCCAGGGAGACAGTCTGAGGTGAGTGAAAAGCTGATTGTGGTTAGCCGGGCGAAGGGCAGTTCACCCAAGCTCCCAGCTACTCAGGAGGCTGATGGGAAAGGACTGCTGGAGCCCAGGAGTTTGAGGCCAGCCTGGGCAATATAGAGAGACCCCATCACTTAAAAAAAAAAACAGCTGATGCCTGGGGGCCCCCAGTGATGCTGCCTTTAGAGCCCTCAGCAGGCAAGACCAACCCCCCCTTCTTCAGCTGGGCCTTCTGCTGCTGGGACTAGAAGGCAGCGGCCAAGGCTAGATGGAGAACCAGGCCTGCCACCTCCCACACCAGCCTGATCGAGCCCCTGGCCACACCCATCCTCTTGGAACGTGGAAGGAGAAGGAGATGGAAGGGCCCGGGGGGAGCGGGCGGCAGAAGCCTGATGGTCAGACCTGCCAAGAGCAGTCATCGTTTATTTCTCTGAATATTTCTTGGCATTAGGCAGATACTGAAGAACAAGATTTATAGATGCAGGGACAGCTGGAGGGACACAGGAGGGGCCGGTTTACCAACAGCAGCGGCACGTGGCAGACCCACCTTGGCTGGAGCGAGCAGGGCCACGGCCTGAGGAAGGGGGCTCCTGTGGGCGGACACAAAACTCAGAAAATGCCATTTATTTTATCATTTTAATACCAGAAATGCCAGACCAATCAACAGGGAGGACAGACCAGACACAAATGCCCGCATTCACGACACGGACAGGAGGGTCACCACGGCTCAGGGCACGCATGCATTTCCTTAGAAACAGGCAGACGGAGAGAGCATAAATACCACACAACAGCCAGGCTTGGGGGCCACGGGCCACAGGGGGCCACGCTTCAAAGGCAGTTAGAGGCATTAAATACGGGACCTACACATTACATTTCACTTCACCATACATCATTTATATATTAAAGGAAGGGACCACAGGATCTATATGTGCAAGCGGCTGTGGTGGAGAAAATGAACGGGGGCAGCCATGCACGGGAGGGGCTCCCTGTCTACCCTCCCAACGCCTCGTCCCCACCCTTCCCACGGAGTCACTTGGGATCACAGAATGCACAAGCTGCCTGGTCTCCCTGTGAGCCGGGAGGTGCCTGGAACCAAGAACACTTGAATCTTGCATGTCATCACATCCCTGGGAGCTGCCCTGGAAGGGACCGGGCCGGGTGTGAGGGGAGGAATGTCTCACTGGTCAGGCGGAGGAGGGAGGCGCAGCCGCCGGGCCGGGCAGGTGCGATGCGTGGCCCAGGCCCGGGGCGGGGAGACCAGGCGACTGGAGGGGCATCCACTCTTGCAAGCAAAGCGTAAACGGCATGACAAGCCTATGTTCCTCTGCACTGTCTGGGCCGCTCGCTCAGAACTGGCTGGCGCTGCTGGGGTCGCACTGCAGCAGGCGGACAATGGAGGGGTCGCTCTTGGCACCTTTGATGAATTCTTCCAAGGACAGTTTACCTGCAGGTGATGGAAGAGATGAGGAATAACAGTGCTCACTGTTCTTTATGCTTCCAGAGAGGATGGGACAGTTCTCAGGTCAGGGACACCCCCTTTGTTGAAAGTCCTGAGCCAACTTGAAGCTGATGGTGTCCAGTCTCAACTCACTTTATAGGCATTTCAAAAGAAATCCTTTTTCTTTTCCCAGCTCCATAAAATACATTGGGTAATTCAAAGGGATTACCCAGCAGGACAGCAGGACATGGCTGATGAGGGCCCTTTAAATCCTTTTAGAAACTACCCCACATTTTGCTTATTAAGGAACATGTACATTGTACAGAAAAATTTTACAGCATTTGCCTCTAACCCATACATAATCCAGGCTGAGAAGGCCACGCTGGTTGGCGACCCCCAAAGTAGGGCCCGGATCCTCCCTGGCATCTGCTGCTCAGGCCTAGGGGACCGAACTCAAGCTCTGCACTGTCGGCCACATGTGGTGAGAGGAAAACCTAGAAAAAGACTGGCCATGCTAAGGAATCAGCTGCCCCTCATCCTCCTCACCCAGAGCTGGTGACAACATCTTCCCTCTCCCAGGACATAGCCTCGGTGACTCCACACTGGGCAGAGTGGCCTCTGGAGGCTCATGGCCCAGGGCGGGTCTCTGTAAGGTGACCGGCTGAGCTAGGTGGGGGAAGTTTTCTGACCATCCACTCCCTGTCCCATCATTGCTGTCAATGTGCCCACACTGTGGTCACCATAGCCCTGGCTCTGCTGGTCCACATGCAGGAGACGCCGTAAGGAGTCTGCCCAGGTGGACATGGCCTCGAGGGCAGGAGGGGGCGCCTCTGGCTCCAGCTGGTAGGGAAGCACAAGGTTCGAGGTTGGCTCCGCCCTGGCAGCCTGAGCCCTGGTGCGGCCTCTGTGTCTGTTTGAGGCTCTGTGTCAGCTGGAATCGCTAGAGCACCCTGTAAAATGTCTGTGCAGGCAACACAGGCCTAGCACAGGGGAAGGCGCGCAGTGGGGGCTCTAGGCTCTCGGTTCTGGCACATGGCAAGCCACCAATGATTCCAGGCCTCAGGATCTTCGTCTCGAAGGTGGGATAATGAGAATGCCCATCTCGAAGGCGACTGGGGGGATGCAATTGAGGACTGAGCCCAACACCAGGGCGGAGGATATCCCTGCCCAGTAGGACCCTGCTGGGAATCCAGCCCCTTTGGCCCATTGGCAGTCAGGTACACATGTCCTTATGGGACTCTGGCCTGGGCTCCAGCAGGCTGGCTTCTTCCAGGGCACAAACTCGATGCCTCTGGGGCCTGGGCAGCCTACTAACCCCAAAGGACCCCACACGATGCCTGGGCCAAGGGATGGGCAGGGAAAGGGAGGGACAGCCAGGTCCCCAGCAAGCAGTCCCAGGACCCTCTGCCAATGGAGGCTGCCGGCCTTAAGGTTGATGAGGACATTTGTGGGCCACTCCCCACCCTCCACCTCCGACCGCACAGGGCAGCCAGCTGTGGGCCTCAGAGTCCACAGCCCCAAAAGCCCTGGGCCAAGCCCCAGCCGCCCCACTTCCTGTCCCTGACCCCAGCCCCCTAGTTCCAGGCTGAGAGAGAGCAGGTCTGCCCAGATGGACCACGGGTAGGGAGAGCCAGAGCTGCCCCAGGCTGACCTGGAGGGCTGCTGAGATGCCAGGGAGCTGCTGAAGATTCCAGGGGCTCCTCCTGACGGAGGGCAGGCAGGCGAGGGGACTGCTCAGCACAGCCTGAGGAGAGGGTGGTGTTAATGATACCTGTGCCCTGGGGAAACCTGTCAGCCCAGCCCAGAGGCCCGGAGCAGCCGTGCACCTGCTGGGGTGGCCAGGGAAGCTGGGGGACCCTCCAGGGCACCGTCACTCCCAAGCAGTCCCTGGAGGAGCCTTGAGGGCTGAGGACCACAACCTGAACTCTGGCCCCTGGCTTCGGCCCACCTTCCTGGTATCACTCTTCCCTCCTTAACCCAAACTCCAAGGACAGACAGGTCCCCTAGGCTCAGAGGAGGAAGTGCTCCATCCCAGCGGGCACATTAGCAACGTCACATGCCATCCCAATTCCCAAACAACTTCGAATATGCCCTCTGAAGAGGTGGGCAGGGCCAAGCTGGGAGGCAGGTTCTGGCAGGACCATGGGTGGCTTCCCCAGGGACGCTGAAGTCAGGAACCACAGCCGCTGTTTGTGGAGCGCAAACCCTGCTGAGAGCTTTATGGCATCGTCTCGCTGAAACCTCACAACCCGGTAGGACTGGATTCGCCCTCCCCACGAGGATCGAACAGCTTCGGGAGAGCAGCAGCAGGTGCCCTGCTAGGCTGGAGGGTGGAAAACACTTCCCATCAGCCCGAAGGCCACGCCAGACAGCAGGCAGGCTTGCTTTCTGCGTGCATGTGTTTTGAACATGGTGACCTGGCTGCCTGGAACGATCTTTGCTGCCTACAGCTCCCCCACAGCCCGTCCCCCGCTGGGGCCGTGCTAACCTCACCGAGGGCTGCACTCCACACTTTCCAGAGCAGCTTCCTGGGCATTAGCTTATCTTAAATTCTCCAGCACAACCCAGGGAGTATTTTCTCTTCTTAAGGTTGCATTTCTTCATTGTTCAAAAGCAAAGCAAGCCTGGTGCTATGGCTGCCCTTGACAAAGCCAGCAAGAAGAGCAGAACTGGAAGCTGCCACAGCCGCCCCAGATCTCACAGCCAGTGCAGAGGAGGGCACTCGAGGCACAGCCTCGTCACCACTGCTGCCACCACCATTGTGAGACTTGCATTTCTGCAGTGGGGCTGAGTCCCCACAGAGCTGCCGTAGGCGGACAAGGTGGCAGTGTACATCCTGACAGTTCCCCTTGGACACTGAGGCCATCTGGGCAGCCTCCTCTCTCAGGATGGCAGCCAGAGAGGCATGGCCAGCACCCCAGGACCCCACCATCTGGGATCCTCTGATCCCAAGCCCTCCAGATTCAGGGCTGCCAGCACGCCTGCCTCCCTGCCCCTAAACATACCCACAGGAATATAGGTATGTCCTGTTCTACGAGTAGGGAGATGGTGGCTCAGAGGGGCCACAACATGCCCAGCATCACAAAGCCGCGCAGAGGGGCTGGGGCACAGCATGGGTATCCCCAACTGTATCCCGCCTTTCCCTGGGCATGACAAGCACCAGGCAGGTGGGCCAGGAGACCAAGAAGCTGCAGAGGGGAGGGGGCGACCCAAACATGTTTCTTGGACACACGCAGCCCTGCCCCCACACCAGCCCTACCATCGTTGTTGGTGTCCATCTGCCTGAAGATCTTGTCCGTGCGCTTCTCCGGGGTGGACTCGTCCTCCGGCATCTTCATCACCGAGGACACCATCTTGTAGATGGCCTGCGGACGGGGGCAAGGACAGTGTGCTCAGAGGCCCGGAAGCTCGGGCAGGTGCAGCAAGGGTAGGCTTCTGCCCAGCCCATGACAAGGCTTGGAGAGGTCGTGGGCTCCTGGTGGCCTTCAGGACCCTTCCCCAGTGGGGAGAATGTTCCCCAGTGAACTTCACTGGCGTCTAAGTGAAGTTCAAGAGCAGAGCTGGCAGGATGGCTCTACTGGGAGGTGGTGAGGGTGGTGGTATTTCTGCCTGGGGGGGTAGTGCCAGGAAGGTGCCTGAGTGCCCCTCTTGGGGGCTGGGAATGCTGAGAGAGGGTGGTGGTCACGTGGGCAGAGTTGCGTGAAATTCGACATGCTGCCCGCCATGTGCATTTTACTGTGTGGCTGTTACCCCGCAGTTTAAAAGAGACTGCCCCTGAAACTCACAGGGAGAGCCCCATCACCAGCCCCTGACAGGACCGGAACCCGTGGCCCTGGGTCTCCACACCCTCTTTGGGACACTGTCAGCCGAGGGCTCAGCCTAGCTGCTGGTCTCTCTGTGCATCTCTGCCTGAGTGGCCCAGCCTAGGGCACATGCCCCTGCGCTGCTGGTCAGTGTACAGGGGAGATGGTGATGGGGCTGGTGAGTGGCCGCTGAGCAGTGACATGCATGGGGAGGGGCGGCACTGCTGTGGAATTTTCTGAGCACTCCGTGTAGAAGTGTCATTTCCAAGACAACAGACCATTTTCTCATTTTGAGAAGAGGTAGCACCAAGTGTCCCCTGAGAAACACCAGGCAGCCAGCCAGGGAGCCATCCATGGCACTGGGGGAAGGCTTTCAGGGTTTGAAGACTTGGTTTGGGAGTTGAAAAGCGAGATTCTGTTCAGACAGAAGTGGCTGCTCCTTGCTGCTCCGAACAGTTCTGCCAGAGCCTCCAGGTTCTGGCCACGCCTCTGCTCAGCCAGGGGCAGGCATGCTGATCTCCAGAGGGTGAGGGTTAGCACAGGGCAGGGTGGGCGGTTCCCGGGAAACAGATTTCTTACTTCCGCCACTGTGTGAAGCTAAGAGCCAGAAAGTGGTGACTGAAGCAGAGTTCCCCGAACCCGTGTTAATTTCCTCTTGCAGTGTGAAAACCATCTGTGTGGGAAACGGGCCCCTCGCTCCGAGGCGGGCTGCGGCTGGAGCAGGAGTTCTTGGATCTGATACCCGCTGCTGGAGGCCTACCCCTGAGGTTCCCTACCATGGGACCACTGCTTCTGAAGAGTTCCATTTCTTTCTTGTTTTGTTTTTGGTTATTTTGGAGGCAGGGTCTCACTCTGTCACTCAGGCTGGAGTGTAGCTGTGCAATCCTAGCTCACCCTCAAACTCCTGGGCTCAAGCGATCCTTCAGCCTCAGCCTCCCAAAGTGTTGGGATTACAGGCCTGGCCATGAGGAAGTCTAGACTGGATGCTCCCGGGCTCAGGGAGGCACTCAGGGGAGTGCCAGGGAGGGGCAGCTCTGCGCTCTCTACTCTCTCTCACACACACAGGCACTCGGTTTCCTTCTGAAACACAGCCTTGCCTGCTAGAGCTGTTGATAGGCATGAAGGCAAAGAGACGCCTCATAAAGTGACATCCTTTCTGTGCTAAGCTGATTCTTGTGATCATTAATGCTTCGCTTTTACTTTAAGATTGTATGTTCCTGGGGACATCACAAGCTATCTGCTGCATTCCCAAGTACAGGGCTTTCCCACGGACTTGGCAGGTACCTCTTGCAAGTCCCAAGGATCCCAGCAATAATATCATTCTTGGCCAAGCACGGTGGCCCATGCTTGTAATCCCAGCACTTTGGGAGGCTGAGGTGGGCAGATCACCTGAGGTCAGGAGTTCAAGACCAGCCTGGCCAACACGGTAAACTTTGTCTCTACTAAAAATACAAAAATTAGCTGGCTGCCATGGCACATGCCTGTAATCCCAGCTACTTGTGAGGCTGAGACACGACAATCTCGAACCCAGGGGGAGGAGGTTGCAGTGAGCCGAGATTGTGCCATTGTAGTCCAGCCTGGGTGACAAAGTGAGACTCCATCTCCAAAAATATGTATATAATTCTTAGAAATTCACCTATTTGAGCCTCAGACTTTGTAAAATGCAGAGAATGACCCGTGTCATCAATCTGATCCAAGTGCTCCATCTGGGCCTGATGTACAGCAAGTCATCAATAAACTTTGGCTTTTACTATTGCTCTTTGCAAGGATCTGCCGTCAGGTGACAACTGCTCACTTTCAAAAGTGCCCCAGGTAGCAACCTGGCCAAGAAAGACTCTGTCAAGTGAACATCAAATACACTGGAAGGCTGGGCATGCTGGCTCATGCCTGTAATTCCAGCACTCTCCATGAGGTGGGCAGATCACTTTAGCCCAGGAGTTCAAGACTAGCCTGGATGATGTGGCAAAAACCTCTCTCTACCCCCTAAAATACCAAAATAATTAGCAGGGCATCGAGGTGCGTGCCTGTAGTCCCAACTACTCAAGAGGCTGAAGTGGGAAAATCACCTGAGCCCAGGAGCCAGAGGCTGCAGTGAGCTGAGATCGCGCCACTGCACCCCAGCCTGGGTGATAGAGCAAGACCCTGTCTTTAAAAAAAGAGCCCTGGGCTGGGAGCTGGGAGGGGCCCTGGCCCGCAGTGAGACCCGGGCCTGGGGCTCGGTACCTGCACAATCTCCAGCATCTCGCTGCGGCTGATGTAGCCGTTGCCGTCCAGGTCGTACATGCTGAAGGCCCACTTGAGCTTCTGCTCCAGCTTGCCCCTGGAGGTCACGCTCAGCGCAATGATGAACTCCCGGAAGTCGATGGTGCCATCGCCGTTGGTGTCAAAGGTGCGGAAGACGTGCTCGGCGAACTTGGAGGCGTCGCCATAGGGGAAGAAGTTGGCGTAGATCTTCTTGAACTCATCCACAGTCAGATGGCCGGTGGGGCAGTCCTTGAGGAAGCCCTTGTACCACTCCTGCAGCTCGTGGTCGGTGAACTCCGTGTTCTCCCGCAGGTCCTGCAGCACCTCAGGCCGCAGCTTGCTGTTCTGCTTGCCCATGGCTGCTGGCGGCGACTTACACCTGCAAGACAGAGGGTCAGCCGGGGACAACACCCATGACATAGAGCAGGGCTGAGCCACGTGCCGGAGAGAGTATATGAGCCCATCGCTGTGTGAGCACTGTGATTCAGCACCTCCCGGTCCCCTATCGGAAGGTGTGCCACTATTTTATGAAGCACGAAGAAGGCCAGGAGACCGCAGTTAAACCATGTTTAGCAGGACATGTTCTCACTTACAGAATGTGGAAATGTGGGGAAAAAATGCAACTTAAAATCAGGGGAATGAGGTACCATCCAGTGCCCACCAGGGGTTGTACAAGAGGCAAAGATTAAAATCAGTTCTTACTTTCATCCCCTCATCAGCCGCTGGCAAAGTGGCCACGGCAGCCGCATCCCAGACTCTTTGGGGCAGTTCTTCCCTCTTTCAGGCAACACATTATGTTTTTATCGTTAGAAGAAGCATCTGGAAGCTTTCAGGGAGTTCCCCCCCACCTTCATTTTGCTTATTTGTTTGTTTGGAGACAGAGTTTCCCTCTTGTCACCCAGGCTGGAGTGCAGTGGTGCAATCTCAGCTCACTGTAACCTCTACCTCCCGGGTTCAAGCAATTCTCCTGCTTCAGCCTCCCGAGTAGCGGGGATTACAGGCCTGCACCCCGACGCCCTGCTAGGTTTTTGTATTTTTAGTAGAGACAGGGTTTCACCATGTTGGCCGGGCTGGTCTCAAACTCCTGACCTCAGGTGATCCACCCGCCTCTGACCTCCCAAAGTTCTGGGATTACAGGTGTGAGACACTGTGCTCAACCCACCTTCTTTATTTTGCCTTTGATAAACTGCCCTGGGTGGGAGGAGAATCTGGAATTAGCTCCAGGCAGTAAGTGATGTTCTGAACAGCACCCGGATAAAATGAGGCACCTGTGGGAATGAGGAACCGCTCTGCCCGAAACCATCCCCTAGGGCGGTTCTCCAAGAGGCCTGAATGCAAGACTGATTAACTGGCATTGACACGGCTGTCACTGCACCACCTCGACACCACCTCGTGTTATTTTCTTACAGTAACAAGTTAACATATATACAGGGCATGATAATTTTTGAAGCACATGAAGAATGAGGAAAAGGTGTCTCTTACCCTAGTCCCAGAGGTAACCACTTTGAAATCTACCTTTGATTTCTCAACATAGGTGCCAGCTCTCCATTATGAAACATAAAACAGACCACCCACACTGCGCACCACTTCCTTTCTTCTCTGCCTCCATCCCAGGATTTTTGTTTGTTTGATTTTTGAGACAGCGTCTCCCTCTGTTGCTCAGGCTAAAGTTTGCAGTGGTGTGATACCAGCTCACAGCAACCCCCAACTCCCAGGTTCAAGCAATCCTCCCATCTTGGCCTCCCGAGTAGCTAGGATTACAGGGGTGAACCACCAGGCCTGGCTAATTATTTTTTTCTTGTCTTTTTAGTAGAGATGGGGTTTCACACTATGTTAGCCAGGCTGGTTTCAAACTTCGGACCTCGAGTGATACTCCCACCTTGGCCTCCCAAAGTGCTAGGATTATAGGCATGAGCCAACATGCCCAGCCCATCCCAGGTTTTAGAGTACATACACGTTTTTGTTTTTACTTATCATATATATATATATATATATATATATATTTTTTTTTTTTTTTAATTGAGGCAGTCTCTCACTGACACCAAGGCTGCAGTGTGTGATGATGGCTCACTGAAGCAATGAGCTCCTATGCTCAAGCAATTCTCCTGCTTTAGCCTCCTGAGGAGCTAGGACTACAGGCACACAGCACCACACCCAATTAAATTTTTTTTTTTTTTTTTTTTGAAGAGACAGTGCCTCTCTATGTTGCCCAGACTGGTCTCAAGCTCCTGGCTTCAAGGGGTCCTCCTGCCTTGGCCTCCCAATGTGCTGGGACTACAGGCGTGAGCCAAGATGCCTGGTGTTTTTACTTATCTTTATGACTTTATCTTTCAAAATTACAAACACATATTCACCTTGACCCACTCATCCCACTTCTAGAAACATATCTAGCAGTACTCCCACCTGTGCAAACAATTCTGTGTAGGCAGCCACTGCCTCCGTGGTCTGTAACAGCGAATTGCCCAGGTGCCCATCTGACGCACTCATGAGAAATCATCTTCAAGGTGTATTTTTATGTGAAAAGAGAAGCTGCACAACAGCACACAGAGTTTGCTACCGTTTATGAAAAAAAAAGACAGGCACGGTGGCTCACGCCTGTAATCCCAGCACTTTGGGAGGCCAAGGCGGGTGGATCACGAGGTCAAGAGATCGAGACCATCCTGGTGAACATGGTGAAACCCCGTCTCTACTAAAAATACAAAAAATTAGCTGGGCATGGTGGCGCATGCCTGTAATCCCAGCTACTCAGGAGGCTGAGGCAGGAGAATTGCCTTATCCCAGGAGGCAGAGGTTGGGGTGAGCCGAGATCGCGCCATTGCACTCCAGCCTGGGTACCAAGAGCGAAACTCCGTCTCAGAAAAAAAAAAGAAAGAAAGAAAAAGGAAGACAAACATATGTGCTGTGTGCTCATGCTCTGGCTTTTGAGGAAAGGATGACACTGGCTGGGGAGGAGAGACGGCTGGATGGACAACGACACTGGGGACTTTATTTTTTTTTTTTTTGAGATGGGAGTTTTGCTCTTGTCACTCAGGCTGGAGTCCAATGGCATGATTCTGGCTCACTCTGCTCCTGGGTTCAAGTGATTCTCATGCCTCAGCCTCCCAGTAGCTGGGATTACAGGTGGGCACCATCATGCCCAGCTAATTTTTGTATTTTTAGTAGAGATGGGGTTTCACCATGTTGGCCAGGCTGGTCTCAAACTCCTGACCTCGGGTGATCCAAGATCCACCCGCCTTAGCCTCCCAAAGTGCTGGGATTACAGGCATGAGCCACCACACCCAGCCCCTGGGGACTTTGTATTGAGAGGGATTCTTCTCTCCTCCTGGCCAGCTCTGAATGTGCAGCCACAGTTCCACTGCGATCTGATAAGGTTCCTCCTGGCAGCGTGTCTGTGGGTGCTTTAAAGGACAGCATTGTATTCCTCTTGGGCACGTGGCCAGAGAGAACCAGCTGTGAGCAGAGCGGCTATGGCCTCAGCGGTGCCTCCTCCGAATTCCCATGTTGAAGTCCTAACCCCAGGTCCCTCAGAATGGGACTGCACTGGGAGCCAGGGTCTTTAAAGAGGTCAATAAGTTAAAATGAGGATACTAGGGTGAGCCCCAATCCAATACGACTGGAGATGAGGACACAGACACACACAGGGAGGTGATGGCCACCTGCAATCCCAGGAGAGAGGCCTCTGAAGGAAGCAACCCTGCCAACACCTTGGACTTCTGGTCTCCAGACCATGAGAAAACAGAGTTCCACAGCTGAAGCCCCAGTCTGCAGTCCTGTGTGATAGTAGCATAGCAGTCACCCTTGGGAAACTGACCTGCAACTGACAAACGCCTGCTATCAGTGTCTATGGGGCAGGAGCAAAGCCAGGTGCCTGACCTGCTTTCAGCAGGGACAGTCAGAAGCAGCACCTGTGGCCTGTGGGGCCAATTTTGTCAGACACTTTACCTATTAATCACGCTTCACTAATAAGGAAACCAACCCTGCGAGAGTCCTGGAGCCTGAGAGGCAAAACCAGGGCTGGACCCAGGCGGTCTGCCTCTTCTCCCCAGGCAGTGGAGGGGAGGCTGACCTGGGCAAGGGCGACATGGTGATGGACACAGTGTTAGCTAATGGCAGGCCCTTTTTGCCTGATTTGCATCACTGCATTTTTCATCATCAAAATGAGCCACCTTCTGTGAAGTTCTAGGCTCTGGGAGCTCAGAATCACTGCCTTAAGAATCCACTCACCTCAGTGAAAACCAAATCACTGCTCAGAACGAAGGGAGCAATTTATCCTAGAATGGATCTGTGATTTTTGTTCTTACTGATCCCATTGGAATGCCAAACTCATACCTCTCTGCCTGAAATCACAGACGTGTACAGAAAGGAAGGTACCAGATTAGGGGCAGTGCCAAACCCAGTGAGTGCACTGCTAGAAAGTAACAGGTGGAGTGCATTATAGTCTGCTGGGGAGAAGCTCTCTACACTCCCAGCACCTTCCCGAGTGTGCCAGAGGGCAGATGTGCAAGCCTGCAGCCTCCTGCCTCACTCAGCACCTCCTCTGGAAGTGCTTGCTAACCTTCATCCTCTCCCCGGTGACTCATCTGGCCTGGCACAGGGTGGGTGTCTGTGTTGGGAGAATGGAGATTCTTGTTGTGGTTGCAGTTGCTGTGTATACACACATGTACAAGCACCTGCTTTAAGGTTTGGCTAACTGCAGAGACAGGGAGGTTTGGGCAAAGCTGGTATCCCAGTGTGACCCACTTTTGGAATGCAAGGGAGAGAATTCAACCCTCAGAGAGGCGCAACACCAGCCAGGAGCCTCTGAGCTGTGTCCCAGGAGCCACAGGGACCTTCCTAAGGCTTTGGGGTCTATGGGATGGGGAAGGGTAGGAAGAAGGACTCTGGGCCTCTGGGCCCAGCACTGACCGGAGCAGCAACCCTCTGATCTGTTTCCGCATCCATCCTCTTTTAAAGAAAGGATTCTGCTGATGCAAACAAAGTTTGATGCCAAGACCTGCTCATACTAAGATTCCAGGTCTAGAAGCATAAATACAACAGAATAATGTGGAGGCAGAAGAGTGTAGGGACCCAAAAATAGTACAATACTTTTGCCTCTTCCTTTTGAAAAAATCCCCACCCGAACAAGGAGAACAAAAAAAAGAAAAAGGCTGCGCCTATGACCTTGATCATATCCATGAGGCGACATCTATGCCCCCAAGCCCCAACACACATCAGTGGGAAGTGGGCAGGAGATGGCAAACAGCTGAGCAGGGAGCGGGGCCAGGGAGGAGAAACAGGGCAACTGGGGCCCCCAAATTCCAGAAGTCCTGGAGATCAGGGGTCCTCAGAGCCTCAGGAGATGTGGGAGGCAGAGTCTGAAGGAATGTGCCAGAATACAGC